TTAAGATGGTATTGAGATGCTCAAAGAGACAGATAGGATCACACTGAGTTTCCCACAGACACCTTTATCCCTTCCTTTTTTGACTGTAATTCCCCTATGAGCTTAACTGCATGTGTAACTGGAGACCTGCATGGCTCTTCATGCCTGTGACAGCACGGCCATGGAGTCTGCTGCCAGGGCACAGCCAAGGTGACCTGCAGGCAGGAGAAGCTCCTGTTGCCTGTCCAGCATCTCTTTGCTCCATGTCACCTCTTCAGAGTGACAAAATGTATTAATTTCCCTACTCTTACGCCATCTCATGTGCTGGAAGGGAAGACACTTGGATGGCCTTAAGACAGAACGGAAGTGCAATTAGGTATTGCAAAGGCCATTGAAAGGAAAGCGATTTGCAGGCTGCTCTGTCCCACAGATGGAGCTGGAAGTTCAGAAATTGTTGAAGGCTTTAGTGCAACCAGGGCCTGGAGCAGCTGATACAGGTACAGGGAGCACCATCTGGTGGCTACTGCTGCACAGTGCAGCATTTACTTGATACCTTCATGAATGGGTAGTTTTCTGTCCATGTCTGTATTTGCAAGATTTTTGGAAGCTCAGATGTAGTGTTATGCTAATCCAGCTTCATAATTAAAGACAAACAAGCAAGCAAACAAACAGCCTTTCTCTATGAAGTTGGAAGTGTAGGGAGTAATTGCCACTAAAGGTGCTTTGATGTCTGCCCACACCCCTACCCTTTTCTGATTCACCCCATAGATTTTTTTGCTTGACTGTGCACATCTGCGGTGGGATCACACAGCTGCACTGACTCACTGCAACAACTCAAACCAAACTGGAAGAGCACAGAACTACAGAAAAGTAAGCTAAAGCTGTCTTCAGTGACTTGAGAGGTCATGTAGGCAATGCCTTGAACCCCTGGCAGGACCAAGTCTTCCTAAAAGCATCCTGAGATGCTTATAATCCTGCTTAATCTGCATTAATGTTGCTGCCAGCACAGGATCACAGTGATCTTAGAACAGGGCATTTACAACACCAGTAACAAAAGCTTATATTTCTCTCAATTAAAACATCTATTATCGCTGCAATTTCTAGCACAATTTCTAGCACAGTTTCACACATATTTGACCATACGAAGATCAGGTGTCCCCCAGACAGCGAGATTAATTGAAGAAAGATGTGACCTGGAGTACAGAAGAGCTTCAGTTGCTCAGGACAAACTTTTAACTGGGGCTATGAGACAGCCAAGTGGATGTGAGCTGGCCAAATCCCAGTTTCTCACTGCAAACTTTCTAACCACAAGTTGAGCACAGCCCTAAATTTCTCAAATGTTTGGAAAATGAGTCCTTGGAAGAACTGGTTAACACTGAAGACTATATGCAGATGGGCGTGTTTATACAGCAAAAAATGTTTAAACCCAACCCCTTTTCAGCAGCAGTACTGCCTGGCTCTGCTCATAAAGTGGAAACTGGGTTTTCAGCAAGCAGATGCACCAGCTTGATCCAGTTGATTGTAGCTAAACAGGTATGTTATTGATTTGGGTCCCCAGAATGCAATGTCCTGGGACAACCCAGCTCTCAGAAAGATGAGTAAAAATTATGCAGGGTGTTTGGATACACTTTAAAGCAGTTGTCAGCAGGTTTTTTTATTACAAAGTCAATCATAAGGACAAGCCTCAGTCCCTAGTCTAACCAGGCAATATTGTCTGCAGGTAATGTGGGCCTGAGGGACTGTCTGATGTCTCTGCAGCTTGTATATGCTTCCTGGCACCAACTGCCAAGCTCCTACCCAGACCCAAATCCTGCAGTTCATTTTTCCAGGCCATGCTGAGTGCACACACACTCTTTAAACTGTAGGTCAGTATATACTTAGGTCATCCTGAACTCTTACAGCATTTTCTTGCTGTTTGGGAAGAGGAAAACAAGTAGGTAAACTTGGGTAAGCACATTGCTATGCCACTGGCTTAGATCATCTGCAGCTTTGACCGTTCTTGTTGCTATTTTGTCTACCTTGGGTGTCTTTAGATCCTTTAGTGTCTCATTTCAGTGTCTATTTCAGCATGCAGTAGAGCCAGCTCTCTGCAGAGGGAACTTCTGGCCCAGTGGCTTCCCTATGTTCATCAGCCAGTTCTTTCTGTTCCTCTGGCACCTGGCTCACCGGCTGGAGGAGAGCAGAGGAGATTAAATTATTGGTGTTTCCCAAGCCTCTTGTTCAGTTTGAGAACATGTCCTATTGCTTTGCTCCTCCCTTTTAAAGAAGGTGTAGTTCCCACTCTCCATCACAAGTCTACAATGACAAGAGCACCAAAGGAAATTCCTAGCACAGCCCACATAATTCCAGTTGTATAGAAGATGGTGACAGCACGACCTGCTGTTCCACAGCATGGCTAGATCTAGTCCTGAACTGCCTATGCCCATGGGAATGCAGTGCAACAGCTGAGTATGGTGCTGGTTTCATAGCACCATCATCTTCATCACAAAGCCTAATAACTTACTTATGAAGCCGGAGCAAAGATTTTGGTTATGGACAGCAACTGGAATAATAAATTGTGGAAAAGGAAAATTATTTTAAAATCGACAGAAGGCTTGAGTCTCATCTCATCAGTTCCAGGGACATCACATGACATGACAGGGGCCAGAGGCTGGCTGGGACCTCAGTCTCACCAGGAAGTCACCTGGCAGATTGCTATTGGTTTCAGTAAGAACAAAACATAGTATTTCCTAAAACCTTGGCCTTGATCACAACACACATGAAGGGAACAGAAACTTAAGTGAGTAGCACTTAGAAGCTAGTTAAAAACTTGAGCAGCAGAGACTAATACCACCCACCATAAGACTAGACCCACAAAAGAAAGATTGCCTATTATCCGAAAGCTGCTGCAGCTGGAGTACTTGGTTAGGTGGGTCTTGTCTTCTGAGCCAACACATCAATTCTCTACATAGCAAGTTGAAATATTTCTCTGGATACTTATACTGATGATACTCATGGGAAAAATAGCATGTAATGAGCCCCTTTGGAGGCTGGAAGACTAATACTGGCAAGAAAGGGAACATTCAAATCTTGGAATTGTTGCAAAAGAGGTTAGAAGTTTATTAGATGTAGTGAACGTTATCCAATACTCTCATTTGAATGCCAGCTCAAAGACTCAGAGAGCACATCTTGCAGAAGTTTACATAAGCAAAATGTGTTATCATTATCTGGCTACATTCCTCCTGTCTCTATAAAAAATGGGTGATATATTAAGCTATGGTTGGTGTGTGCTGGTCAGTGTTCGACTTTCAGACTAACACATACTTTATGCTGTCCTACAATATATACTTTCTAACATTTTTAAATTCCCACTTCTTGCTTAGTTTATCATCTTCCACATTTATGAACTTAAACAATTTACCCCTAACTTCTACTGCTTTGTAGAGAATCCCCCTGAGCTGGAAATCCCATCAGTCCCAGAACATTCCTCCCCTCTGCACCAGTATCTGCAGATTTCTTCTGTTTGCAAACACTTTTCTCTCCTTCTGTGTGATAGATCATATAACTGGGGAGAGATTCTGACCACCTATATCAAAGTGAAGTGATAAAACAGATACAGAGGAATGAGGCTTCAGTGAAACATGAGGCAGGAGAGCTCCAGGTTGCTTCTCAGGTGGGAAACAACAATAGCACCCAAGGGCCAGTCGCAGAAGATGATGGCCCCAGTAACCCTTGTTGGCTCGGTTCCTTTCACAGCCAGACTGCCCAGCAGGCTCCACTGCAGCCCTGCTGCCAATCACATGAGAGATCCCCAGCATGGGAGATGCATTTGAAAAGATTAGAGGCACTGTGTAACTCCCAAACTAATGTTTAACCAGGTGTTGTTTAGTTTACGTGCCTATGGAGATAAGACTTCTGTGACTGAGCTTGACAATTGGTCTACCAGCCCATCTGTCTATTCAGCTGTTGACCTTCCAAAAAACTTTTGCAAATGTTGGCCAATTGCAACTAAACTTGAAATAACGCAGTTGCCTCCAAATAGAGTCTTAGAGGTCTCAAGTATCCTGAGGTCACTGAAGTATGGTGAAAGTTGGAGGGTTTTAATACTGCTTGCACTATGGAAAAGCTCAAGCATTACCCAGACTATGCCATCTCTTGCACAGCCAAACAAGTCTAGAGGATGAGAAGGAGGAGGCAAAACTGGAGGGACTGTGGAAGAAAAGCTGGAACTGTGGAATGACCATGGACTGGGGGCAGGAGAGTTCATGGAGATGGAAAGGTGCGTCACTGCAGTGATGGGGTATAGAGCATGCAGGAAGCCAGCCCCTAGGAAACCAGACGTGTAGTTTTGCTGTTCAGACACTGGCTCATCCCTATCTCTTGAAGCCAGAACAGTTCAAGTTTTTTAAGTAATAATGACAGTCAGTTCCAGGGAAAAAAAATAAAGTGAGTCTGAAAGAGGCAAGGTGCCTTTCCTCAGTCGTATAGACTCTGACCCACAAAGATGTAGGGGCTGCTTAAATCCCAGTGACATCAACAGGAGCCAGCTACCTAGATACCTTTGAGTATCTTACCATCAGCCGTTTATTTTCCTGTCCTGCTTTCTGATCCCCTATCTCTCTGAGCAGGGAATACGCATTAGCCCATCTGAATGCTGCTTAGAAGTGAGGAAGCGATCCCCTGTGGAAAGGGAGATCTGGCTACTCCTGCTCTCGTTTTCAGAGAGCTCTCAGAGTCTAGACACCACAGTATGGTGGTAGGGGGATTTTTGTTTGAGTAGGGGAAAAGATAAGGATAGATTCATTAGTCATAGATTCTCTTGTTTAATCTAGCTCAAAGAGATTGTGCCTCTCTAATTGTATACTGTAACAAGGTTAGCTCTATTGTTGATAATACCAGCCACTTTCTCCTCCTGCAGATAGATGAGGCTCCAAATTAAATGACAAAGAACAGCAGGTACCTTCAGAATACAAAATTGTAAAAATAGAGATTTTATTTGTAAAGCATTTTTGAGAAAATCATTCAAAATACCACTTTTCTTCAGAGAGTTTAAATATATTTTGCATTAACAAGTCCCAGGATTCCATAGTACAAGCCTGCTGTACATGGTCTTTATTTCAACATTATTTTCAAGGACATCAGAAAAGTTTACTAACAATAGGAGTTTACTATTCAAAGTAGACCCCCCAAAAAAAGAAATAAAACAGTATTAACATAAGCAAGAGCACTCATTTGTATTTTCAACACATAGCTCCCTGGAGAACTTGTATTTACTGGTAGGATACATTGTCAAGTGACTGCTCAGTGAATATAGCACCAGAGCTAGCTATACTTAAAACCCACATAAAACAAGTCTAAAAAATATTAATCGCACTGACTTTCCATTAGTGAGGTGGGCTGTGACTCTGTACCCCAGACTTGAGCAGGACAGCCAGGCTGATACTACATGGAAGGAAAGGAAAGCAAGTCATGCAAGACCCTTCTTTCATAGGTCCCCGCAGAAAAAAAAAAAAAAAAAAATTCCAGACAGGAACATAAACCACCAACACAACTTTGTATGCAAAGACACCCTTAGTACTCACACAGCCTTCCCTCCTCCACCAGCACAGACCGTTGGCCTCACACAGTGACGCTGCTGCTAAGCCGAGGGCAGAGGAGCAAGGCTGGATGTGACTTCCCTTGTCAGGGTGTTGATACAGCCTGAACTAAATCAGCCTTTCTGCATTAAAGCCAGTGCATAAGGTGGCTTCACCTTTCTGCTTAACCAGGGTCCTCAGCAAGGTTGCTCCAGGAGCCATACTATGGCACAGGGAAGGAGGTATAAAAAAGTTTAACACTGGCTGCACCCAGAGGACAGCAGATTTGCTTGCACATCAACACTCTGTTCTGCTGATGTCCCACAATATGGCTACAGTTCTGGACATCTCCTTACTCCAACCCATGCCAACTAACCATGACATAATCTGCAAAGACAAAGGGCCTGGACTGTTTGGGGAGCGTAAGCCAGTGCCTCAACATCACAGGATATTCAGTCCCTCAACATGAATGTGGAGCATAGGCATACAGACCAAATACAGACACAGGGAGAACTGCTTTGAGATTAAATACAGAAATCTTACTGAAAATATGTACAGCAATATACTGCCCTTTATCATTTGTTCAGCGACATATTCCAAGCAGAAAAAATACATCACAGGAGAAACAGACTGTAACTGCACCAGGATTGCAGCTAAGAGTGGTGAAAACAGATAAAGGGCATTTCATTTCTCTAAAGCACAAGGTCTGGTCCAATGACACAGGATCTTCCAGGTTGCTTTTAGCAGACTCTACTTTGAGATTATCAAGAGCAAGGCAAAAAGGTGCTATATGATATGCCCCTGCCCAAACAACCTTTTTTGACAGGCAAAAATAGATGAATAAAATACTTCAGCGCAAATTAACTTTTTCTCTCCCTCCCCTGGTCTAGAAACATGTTAAGGCTATGCAATTACTGATTTCCTGTTAAATCACACCTGTATTTAGCATGCTATACATTTATCACGTAAAGGCTGTTATTTCTTAATAGCCCAAGAATTAAAGAAACTAACCTTGAATTCAGAAGCCTCCAGATCAAATTCCTGTTCCGCCAGAGACTCCCGGAGCAAGTCCAGGCAGCCCAGGTCTATCCCACTTCCCTTCAGACTCCTAACCAACATGCAAATGCTGGAACACTAATTGCCCTGAGGTCATTCTGCAGTCACTGGAGAGAAAGAGACATCTTCACATGGTGATAAAATTCTCAGGTGAGTTGAAGCACCCTTGGCCAAGTTCATAAAGCCCAACAGGTTAAGTCTGGGCTCAGCTGTGTATTCATGTGACCTACCATAGGTACTAGGATCAGTCACTCCATTTGCTGTGTCATTTAAATGTAAGAGAGTATTGAGCAGTTCGGATCCCGTCTCTCTCTTTATAGTCAATGGTTAGGAATCATTGCAATACCCACAGTGGATAGTCTGAACAGAAGTTTCTCTTTGCCTCACTCTACAACATGTACAACAGGGAAAATTCCCCGCTCCATACCTGAGGGCAGTGATAAAAGGATGATTCATTGGAAGTCGTTAGAAGCACTGAAATTTGGTGATGAACATTGGGAAGGAGAGGTTACAGTTATCTTAATATAAACAATAACTCAGCATTTTAAGGCAAATATATATAAATTTTTCCCCTTCCCAAAGTATGTAAAGGAAAGTGATGGCTTATAAGTGCTTGTAGACAAAATTTCCCAGGAGTCCTGTGGGTTCAACCAAAAATTTACCCGTTCTTTTCTTTGTATAAATGTAAACCAGTGTTACCAGAAGAATCAGCACTAATGCAACTCCAAGTAAAACTCCAAGGACAATCACTGCCACTTTCCAGGTAGAACTTTCTCCAGCTGGCAACTTAGCAGACAAAGCTGAAAATGTAAAACACATTTTAGAAATGTTAGCTAGAAACAGTAAATAGTAGGTGTAAGAAAGCTTGGAACCCTAAGTGGCAGCTGCATTTTACTGTTTGGCAACTTTGAAAGTTTTGAATAATATTAAAAATGGTTTTGTATGTAGTAAAGTTTTGTTAACTAGAAAATTTTATAGATATCTCTCTCTGAAGGTCCTTGTGATCTATTGGTGACATCCATAATCAGGAGCTCAGGATTTGCTCGGTGGAAAGTATTTGGAAGGTTCTGGGAGGAGAGAACTCCAGTCTGTACCTCAACAAAGAGTCACTCCAAGGTGTGAAAAAGGGCCATGAAATGGAGCTGTACATAATTTAGCCTTCACAGTCCTCCTTATACTTGCACAAGTAACTTTGTGAAATTAATTGGGACCTGGTCTGCCAGCTGTACTTGCACCTACCCATGTCTTGCTCCATGAGACAGTCTACTGAAACCAAAGTCTCTAAACTGATAGGCTAAAACATGAAAGCTTCCTGATTGACAGATAAAGGCAATGAAAGGCTTGTAGCACATGTAAGCTTACCTCATCTCTGTGGTAAAGATGTGTGTAGTAATAGTGGAAAGGCACATAGACTAAATTATAGTGCTAGCCAGCATTTTACAGAGGGTATTAACTAAGGCTGAAGGAGCATCTGTGTTGCATGAAAAGCCCCTAAGTCATAGGAGCACAAGGCAATAAGCACATTACCACCATCATGAGCATGACAGATACTGCAATTTGGATTAATATCTTTCAGCACAATTTCTAATTTCCCTCTCTGCATCTCTGCAGTACTTTATGTTGTTAAATCCACACCACCTTTGGCCAGGGAAGCAGGGACCAGAGGTTTTCGAGGGCCGTCCAACAGAAGAGGTGAACCCTTTCATCACACCTCTATCCAGAGAGAAGTATTGCAGATGCCACTACAGAAGTCTTCTCCTCCACTTCTCCTCTAAAAGTCAATCTTTTAGGATCAGCGTGGAGGGTACAAAGGGGATACACACTGCAACAAGAAGCTCACCTAGACCTCCTTCTATGTGAAGAGAAGCCATCTTTTGAGTCTGTAACTGGGTATGTGTAGTGACTCTTTAAAACAGATCCATAATCTACATGATATATGTACTATATATTCTGTGAATGTTTAAACAAGTTATCTGAAATACTTTAATTTCTTATAAGAAATAAGTTAATTTATCAGCTTTTGTGAAGAGAAGATCTGACCCTTTAATCCCCACAGCATCTCAGAGAAGCTGTTTCAACGTCACTTACATTGTACAGTTACTTCTGTTCGGTCACCAAACTTGCTCTTTAATATTTGACTTAAGTATGACTGCATAATATTCACATCAATGGGCTCTTGTGTTTGCAGTAGAGAAATAAAATAAGCAATCACAGTTCCAGGTCTGAATCCAAGCATAATGATATCAAAGTGGTCATCTTTCAGTTTAACGCGCATTTCTCTAACAACCTGTGTAAATTGAAATTGGTATTTGTTCCATGTGTCAGTCAGCTGAGGCAGAGCAGGAAGGCACACAACATACACACAGCATACACACATCGGGATATTAATTTTCTGCACTTATCACTCTCAGCATAATCGCTTTGGAATAATAAATAAATTAATAATTATAGTAATTTTTGTCTGTACTACTAAAAAACTTACTGAAGGAGGATTCTGGAACAATGCATGGCCTGTGATTGAAAATATGAAATCAAACTTTGATTTCCAAAGCAGTAACTTTTAGCCAGTTAACAATGAAAGTAGTTCTCCTCCTCCACAGGCTACAAACCCATATGGGACCCCAACTGTACAAAATCTGGAATCTACAAAGTCCACCTAACATTCCTAAAGTTATCTTCAGTGTCCCTTAGCTTTTTTAATATGTACAACAAAACTTCAAGCATGGTCATGCACACACTACCAGTGAAGAACTTAATGTTAGAGGTTTAGAACGGATAAAATGGTTTTGTCACCCAATTATCAAAATCATGATGTTACAGCATAGCTAGCAAAGAGAGACAAGGGTCTGATTTGTCTCCCAATTATTCTGGTATAAACTAAGTGTAATCCCATTACACCAATTGGAATGATTTCAAGTTTACACTGATGTCTTCAAAAGCACAAACTTGCCCAGTGCTTTCATGTGGATATAGGACAAGAACAATCTTACAGTAGTTTTATCTTTCCAACAGACTTATATACATATATATATAAAAATATATATATATATACATATATCAGGATTCTGGAGAGGTGTATAAATTATTAGTCCTTTTCTTTAACATCATGTTAAAGACAGCTGAGCAGCAGACTGCTGCTTTGGCATGTTAGCTTTCCTAGGCTCACCCACTGTCTCTAAGCTTCCACTTTCTCCTCAGTTCCTCCCTGATATGGACCCCTTGATACTTTCTCCAGTCCTGCAACCGCTACCATGAAGCAAATTCACAATGATCTGGACTAACAGTACACACTTGTAAAGGTCCCATATTTCCAACTATGTGTTGAAATCTTATTTTTGAGTACTGTTCTTTTTCCATCTCCACAGGCATCTGTTTAGAAAGGTGGGAGAAAATAAACAGAATGGGATGCTCCCTGTACTTATAAAAAGAGAATTTTAAAGTGCCTTTCACTAAATATCTTACATATGAGGATGAGTTTGGGGACATGCTTTCTGTCCTTCAGTCAAGACAGCTCTTGTGCTTCCTATATTGTTTTATCAATGAGGGATTATCTTTTTCTCCTGTCTCAATCTTGATTTCAAAATGAATCTAGAAGACTGATGTTGCTAATCACAAAACTTTCCTTAGTTCATTCATGATGAAAAAGAAGATTGCAGCAACTTACTTCTGTTCTTATACTTTCAGACATTGTTTTGTAGCCTTCACTATCAGAGTTATAAAGCGTATGATTAAATGTCTGGTTTTTTAACAAAACACTGCAAGCAAATGCTTGGTAATCTGGAATAAAAAAAAAAAAAAAAAGTGAAACAATTAGGTGAATCCCAGGATGTCATTCCACAATTGCTTTTTAGACTTTATTATCTCATGTATTTATAATATTAATTAATAAAAACATAAACTAATCAAATAATAAGAAAGTTTATCATGTGCGTCTAATGCAGTGGCTTCTGAATCTTCAGAGTTGAATGTCTGTATCTTCAAATTTGTCAGCCATCACAATCCTCACAACTTGTTTGTCATTCCTACATTATTCAGGGTACATCCTACTCCTTAATTTAATAGCCACTCTTCCATTGATTTCAGCAGAAGCTAGATCAGTCTATTAGAATTTGCAAAGCACTGAGTATGTTTAAATCTTCCTGAGTAGGTGGATGAGTCTTAGGTCAAAAGAAGTATGCTTTACATAGAAAAGTCCAGACTAAAGGTAGAGCTTGAATCTGACACTGAAGTTTGATGAAGGCTGCTTCCTTATCAAAGAAGTGTAAACTTCAGATGCTGTGTGAATTGACATAATAAAGCAGATGGCAAAATACTCATGAAAGATGCTATATTGTAAAATAATAGCCTATAGTTATGAATAAACAAATTTTAAAATTCTATAAAACTTACGTGAGCATACAATATATTTTAAGTCAGGACAGAAAGTATTTTGTGGTAAGCAGAGCTCATTTCTGTTGAAACAGGAAACAGGATCTGCAAAATAAATTAAAAATAAAAAATCAAGATAATTGCTTCTGTGCATGTGTGATTGTTGCTATTAAGAAAATTATGAAATAGGTGAAAGCATTGCATCATGGCCAAGAAATCACCTAAGCAGCCGTTCCTTTTGCCCAGTGAGAATTTAGAACTGCAGATTATAAAAATGCAGCATATCAAGTGAGGCAGGTGGGAGGGTGGGTAGGTGGTATTTGAGAATTTTACTGAAATAATGTTGAGAGTTAAAGATACAGGTTGTGCTGCTATGTGACTGTACAACTCTGGTAAACTAGATAGATTTTTCAGAAGTAAAAGTCACCTGCAAATTCATTTGGAAAAAATATGCATCATGAAGTCTCAGAACTTCAGTAAGCTTGTCTGGACTGGCTAATCTGAATCATTTATAATGGGTGAAAACAGTAGTAAAGGGTGGTACTGCAGTTTTTATATGGTTAGCTCATTGGGTATAGCTCTAGTTTTCCTCACAGAATTGAACATAAACTTTAACCCCACATAAAATCCAGATGACTTGGTCTTTATTGCTCTTTTTTATTAGCTCACAAACACTTTTCTGGTAGGGCAGATGGCCTCATAATACAAAAGGAAGCAATTTTTTTTTTTTTTTTTTAAATAGGGAAACTAATAAATGCCATCCAGTGGGCTGAAGTATTGAAAGATTTGAATGGAAATTATGATGAGAATTCATTGGCTTTGTGGTCCTAAAGCCTAATAAGGGTTTTGAGAATAATCAAATAATTCACTAGAGAACTGAAAAAAAGGGTTGCAACAAAGACAGTTATATTTTAGAGGTCAAGAAATGCTGGAAGAAACTAACAATTGCCAAAAGTCAAGTTAGATCTTTCAAAGGATATTAAAAGAAATAATGAAAATTTTCTCATCCACTGAGAAAATATGGTAAAGTGCAATACAGGTTTATCAAAAGTGGATCATGCCAAAATAACCTAGCAGCTTCCTTTGACAAGCTGACTTTCGGACCTCTTCCAATGATAGAAAAGCAATATTATACAGTTCCAAGTGGTGGATTTTTAGTGGAAAAAGATTTGTCTTAAGTAATTTGCTAATGGGGAGACAGCAATGAGTAGCTTTAAAAGAAGAAACCTTGCATTAGAGAGATATTATGTGTGGAGGTCATTGAGAATCAGTCTGGGTGTAAAACTTGTTCAACAATTCCATTATAGATCTTGCCAAAAAATGCAGGAGTTTGCTCATATAATTTATTGATGGCACAAAGTTAGTAGGTGTCATAAACACAGGGGAGAATTGAGTTATCTTCCAGAAAGAATTGGATGAAGCTAAGGCTGGAACAGCAGCACTGGGATGACATTCCCTGAAAGTTGTGCCTTTGGGGATTAATAATAAAAATGTCTTCTCTAACCTGGCAGCACAAGCATTGAAAAGGACTTCAGTGCCTGAGTTGATCATAGCTGTGATGCAGCTATGAAAAAAACATGTGTTATCCTATAACACATGGTTCAATACATTTCCTGTAGAGATGAGAATACCAATGATATGGTAAATGCACTGGTACAACCTTGACTGGATGGCTGTGTGTAATCCCAGTTACTCACATTCAAGAAGGGTGACTTCTATTTCAAAGAAATGAAGAGTGAGGAGAGCCTCCAAGGCAGAGAAGAATTCTTCTTAGGAAAGGAAACTAGGAAAGAATGGCTTGTCTAGTCTAGCAAAGAGTGAGAGCACTGTCTGTAGAAAAGTTTATAATTGTATCAGGGAGAGAGAGTACAATATGAGAAAAGGAAGAAAGAGGAGTATTTAAGCTAGAGGGCAATGTTAGCACAAAAGCAAATGAATATGGATTTGCTGTGGATACTTTTAGGCTGGTAGTTTGATAAACACTTTTAGAATATTAGAGCATTCCAATTCTCTAACTGCTTTTCATTTGGAATAGTGGAGGGAAAACGCCTAAGGCCTCTCAGTATGGTTTATAAATGAGTTGATGAAAACCCACTATAGTTTTTACTTTATAACTACATATCTGTACTTAACAGAACACTTTTTGTAAACCTTTTTAAGAGGCAGGTATAGATCTCAGTCTCATCACTGCTCTAAGGGCACTACACAGCTTTTGTGTGGTCGGATGTGGGCAGAGGAAGATTTTTCAAGAAAAGCAAGTTCCTGTCTGCCTGCAACATTTTTTGCAGAGGTACCTATGACGTGATGACAATCAATGCACAGATGTTTCAATTGAAAAGGCCCTGTTGAGTGCCTGGATGCTAAAATGTTGGATCTAGGTTACATATACAGTCCCTAAATGGCTTGTAAGGAAGATAGTGTCACATGGGAAGACCTGTACACGATATGAAAAGTTTAGTCAAAATCATCTGGCTGAGGGAAAGGATATAAGCATCCATGAGTATATACTTCCCAAAAGATACTTTCCAGGCGTATCTGAAATTTTGAGAAAAAATATAGCATATGTTCTACTTTTTATGCTTTAATACAGTGATACAATTAAACACTCTGTCTTAATGTTTATATCCTAGGATGAAATTAAAAAGATAGCAATGAGAATTAAGGACTGTCTGAATTCACAGAAGCATGTAAAACCTAAACTTCACATTACCAGAATAATTCCTGTTAAATATGAAAAAAAGATATCTTGACTTTTGTACAGAATTATCTGGTTCAACAGTACAGGATGGTCAGAAATTTTATAGAATAAGCACGTACTCTTGAAAACTCCTGTTTAATCCAAGTAGTCCTATCCAAATAAGGGGATGAGTCAGATCAATAAAGTCAACTTACAGGAATAATAGTCTATGAAATCAAATTAAAATCATATTGTAAAAAGATATTCTGAGAGTATATTCATTAAAAAGAAGTGACAGGATGATTGAAGAAATACCTGTTCGGACACTAGCTGAAGTCCAGCTATTCTCAGCACAAGATAATACTGCCACAGATATTGTGTATACGTGACCAGGAAGTAAATGTTTAAACACAGTTTTATTCTCTTTTGTAGTCGTTTTATTTATGTCCCGGTTTCCATCCATGAGGGAGACCATGTAGAAGCTGCCTCTCCTGCCACTGGTCCAGCTGAATTGTATTGCTTCCCCAGTCACATTCTGAACTTTGATGGACACTGGCACTGCAAAGTGAAAAAATTTCATAAAGCCAAGGACAGTTCATTTCACGTCTGCAATTCTACACATTTAATATTGAAGACAAAAAATACAAATTAAACAAATACAAATTTTTGTGAGTTTTCTTAGGGCTGATTTCTGCCTTTCACCTCATTCTCCCATAAGAGCAGAAATAAACTGATTGCTGTATAGATGTAAATCATACATTAATGTACTTGTTTGATGGCTTCAAAACACAAATGGGTGACATTTGACTTGCTTCTAGTCTTTCTCATGACAGGCAAGGCAGCTGCTCTGATGAGTGTTTTGAGGTGGACTGCTGTTTGACTCATACTGGACTCTTATCAGAAAGATGGATTACTAAAATGCCACCAGGAAACCCTAAGTTCGGAGCAGTAGATAGGCATTTAATAAATGTGCTCCATGATAACATTAAGAAAAATCACTTATCACAGTGGTTTATCACTGAAGGCAGGTACCCAGTGAAACCTTATTGGGTCCAGGAGGAGTTTACTGAGGTGTAGAAATTTCCTTGATTGATATTTGTATAATTATGTATTTTCAGTGGTTCTCTCAGGCTTCCCTTTCTGAAATTATATCCAGAGATTTTATTTCACAGCTGGTATGACTGATGAACAAGAATATTGTATCTGATTTTAATAACTCATCTTGGATAATTTTTATTCTAGAATTCAGTATCAGGTATCTACTTACTGCAAGGTCCTGATGCAAATGTCGTAGTGAAATTGGAATTAGCTGTTGATCCTGTAAATGCAGCTATAGCACTTTTTGGAGGGACTGTAGTAATCTGTTCTGTAAAACAGCAATTTGGGGGAAGTGAGTAGGATTTCTTTTAAAGTTTCACCAAGTTTATGCTATTTATTTTCATAAACAACTTTTAAAAAACAAGCCCAGAAAATATGCTTCAATCATTTGCCTAAGTAGTTAATTATGGCACCCATTCTCATATAAAATTCAATCTATCAAAGTCCAGTGTAACTAATCATAACAATCTATTACCTGAGGGAGGAAAAAGACCTTATCTGCAAATTGTTAAAACTCTTTTTTTTTTTTTTTTTTTTTTTTTTTTTAATATATATAAAGCAGTTACGTGAAGGTAGGTTTTGCTTTTGCTGACAAACTCTCCCTGGAACTTGGGGGCTGTTATCTGTGAATCCTTTGTTGCATTGGCAGGAATAAGTGGCTCCTTCAGCAGTGCACGTAGCATGTTGGGAACAGTCATTTAATCCTGGCTGACAACTATTCCTTGCTACAGTGAAGTTAAACAAAACAGAAAAAGAACAAGGTTTTAAGTCAGTATTGGAAAAAGAGATAGAGTATTATTTGCAATTTCCTTTCCCCACCTAAATCCCATTTCAGTGGATGTTACCAACAGTGAAATAGACACTATTGCTTGAATTCACAGTGATGAATGAATTCATACCTTCTATAACAGTCTTTTTAAGATCAGCTTTCAATACTGTACTCATGTTAAGGGCCTCTATGAAAGCATCTGAGATCTCTGTTTTTGTTATATTTTCTCCTGTGTCCAACACAATGTCGAAGAGCACAATCACACTGCCATTCTTGATGCTGTTAATTACAATACGCATTTTTTTCCACTTTATTAATTCAAGGATCTTTTGTGGTAGATGTTTTTCTATCTGCAAGGTAAAAGATTTAAGTTATTATCTATTTTTCTCCTTTAACATGAAGAGTTGTTAGAGCAATATGCTAGCCATAATTAATTTAGAAGCATCTCTCATAGTAGAGGAATATGCATAATTCCTAGACAGAATTTCATTTAAACCAGGGCCTCAGAGAGCTATGCTATAAATGAGAAGTAAGGCCTTAATAAGTACTGCTTTGTTTCTAACCATCACACAATCTTTCCTACCCCCATTTAAGATTATTTGTACACAGATCCTCATGATTACTTACATTAGGAAGAGCTCAACAGAAAATAAATTTTGGTTTAGAATCCTTAAGCAAAATACCTCCTTAATGAACTTAGCTTCAAAGTCCTTAAATGCTGAACTTGATTTGTTCTGATATTGAGGTATGAAAACCTCATTGATAATCCTAGTGGTTCCGTTGAAGACTTCAGCAGCTGTGGAGATATTAAAGACAAAATAAGCAGGCAAATTATAGGTGTTGTTTAAAAATTTTTCCTCACCTAAGTACGTCTAATGATAAGAGCAGACCAGAGGTGAATGCAGACAGGTTAACTCCCTGCAACACAGTTGGCCACAATATATCTCATAAATATTCTGTACCATGCACTGACCACTGTATTCCTCACCTTTTACTTGATGTGTCTCTGAAGGAAGAGGACAAGTGGCTACGTGATGCGAAGGGGAAGGACCACCATACCCTTGGGTTATGTGCCTTACAGCAAGGCAGCTTTGAAGACCAGTTCCTGCAAAAGGCTTGCCCTTGGCCTGCAGTGCATTGACTCTGCTCCTTCCAACATGTCGCTTCATGTACCAGGCACAGTTGTTGCCAGTATCACAGATGCTATCCCATGGGAGGATAGTGCAAGATTCCAGGTAATAGATAATAGAATAGGTATTTCACTTGTGAACTTAACTACTCTGGTATATCCTACTGTAAACATTTATCATACTGCAGCTTCTTCTGAAGAAGAAGAAGCTGGGATTTGCAAAGTGAGCAAGCAGTAGGAGGTTCAGGGCTCTGGGCTTTCCTAGGCTAAGTGGCTACAGGAGAACTGTGGATTTAAACCTGCTGGCTGCTATGTGACTGGGAACCCCAAAGTGGGCACAGCTTGCATGTGAAGATGCAGGAACAGGACAAGATTGGGAGGTAAAAAACGTGGAGCTGGGAGAGATTGGCATGTTGAACTGCTGTGGTTGTAGTTCAATAAAGTTTTGAATTTGGCAGGAGGACAAGGAAGGCTTTGGATCTTAACCCCATGTAAAATTTGCAGGCTGGCCATAAGTGTCTGCAAGTTTGGCCTCCCTTTGCCTATTCATTTCAGTATATAGCTTATTCATGTCCAGTTAGGTGCTTAATGAAAAAGGGCTTCATCTTCAGGCCATGTATGTGTTAGTCTGGTAATGGAAAAAATAATAGGTTCCAGCGGAAATACCTGTGCGAACTGTCAAGGAGGTACTGACATTCTTAGAGCAAGTTGAAACATCCACGGATATTTGGTATTCATGATCAGAAAGCAGATTTTCAAATGCAGTACTTGTTTTATTTAGGCTTCTCTTCTCCAACTCTCCAGAGCCTCCCCACAGACGCACTCTGTAAGGACTGTCTTTTGTGCCACCTTGAGGTTTCCAGCTGAACTGTATCCTTGTACTGGTCACATCCTCCAGCTGTATGGATAAAGTGATTGGAACTAAAAAGCAAAAATGAAATTCCTATGAGACATATAGTTACACTCTGTGTGTCTTTAATTAATAAAATATTAATGCAAAACTGATTACGTAAGGAAAGAACTGAAGTCTGCAATGTTTTTATAAAGGTGTGAATCATATCATAGAATCACAGGATAGTTTGGATTGGAAGGCACCTTAAAGACCATCTAGTTCCAACCCTCCTGCCACGGGCAGGGACACCTCCCACCAGACCAGGTTGCTCAAAGCCCCGTCCAACCTGGCTTTGAACCCTTCCAGGGAGGGGGCAGCCACAGCTTCTCTGGGCAACCTGTGCCAGTGTCTTACCACCCTCACAGTGAAGAATTTCTTCCTTATATCTAATCTAAATCTACCCTCTTTCAGTTTAAAACCATTACCTCTTGTTCTAGGACTACATGCCCTAGTAAAAAGTCCCTCTCCAGCTTTCTTGTAAGCCCCCTTTAAGTACTGGAAGGCTGCTATAGGGTCTCCCCGGAGCCTTCTCTTCTCCAGGTTGATCATCCCCAATTCTCTCAGCCTGTCATCATAGAGTAGGTACTCCAGCCCCCTGATCATCTCTGTGGACCTCCTCTGGACTCAATCCAACAGGTCCATGCCCTGCTTATGTTGGGGGCCTGGGAGCTGAATGCAATACTCCAGGTGGGGTCTCACCAGAATAGAATAGATGGGGAGAATCATCTCCCTTGACCTGCTGGTCACACTTCTTTTGATGCAGCCCAGGATACAGCTGGCTTTCTGGAATGTGAGTACACATTGCTAGGCCATATTGAGCTTCTTGTCAATGAACAACCCCAAATCCTTCTCCACAGGACTGATCCCAATCCACTTATCACTCAGCCTGTATTTGTGCTTGGGATTGCCTCAACCCATGTGCAGGAATTTGCACTTGCCCTTGCTGAACTTCATGAGTTTTTCATGGGCCCACCTCTCCAGCCTGTCCAGGTCCCTCTGGATGGCATCCCTTCCCTCCAGCATGTCAACCACACCACACAGCTTGGTGTTGTCGGCAAACTCGCTGAGGGTGCACTCAGTCCCACTGTCCATGTCACCAACAAAGATGTTAAACAGCAGTGGTCCCAAAAATAACCGCTGAGGAATGCCCTTCATCACTGCTCTGCACTTGAAATTGAGACATTGTGAAAGATCAAGGTATAAATTGCCATGCATGTGCATGCTTCCAGTTGAAATTTTTGCCAGCAATATGACTAAAATCATGGTAGGAATAACACTATAGACTTGTATTCAAGCTAGAAAAATACTCTTACGCTCTAAAAATGGAAGGCATAGGCCAGATTTTTAAAATATTTTCTCTGGTGCAGAATAGATAAAGGATTCATCCTCCTCTTTCCTAACCTAGCTTTATAATTTTATTCATTAAAAGATGATGAAAGATTCAATATTACAACCGTTTGAAGTCAGCAGATAGACAATTGTCAAAACAAAAAAAATACACTGGAAAAAAATTATTAGTAAAAAAAATAAAAAGTGAACTAGTACAAATAAATTCACTTCAATATTCCCCAAAAAGGAAATAATTCTAATATTTAAAAAGAGGTAATTTTTGAAGTGAAATAAACAACAAGAACAATTAAGGATCCCAGCAACAAAATCATAACAATGCAAAATAACTACAAAGATTATAACCTATCTAGCACAGAACACTGCATAAATACAAGGCGTGCAATATGGAAAACACCTGCAGAATAGGAAGTAGAGTTTTTGAGAAATGCAAGTAGCTGCAGCGATTTGAAAATGGAGACTAAATAACAAAATGAAAGAGATACTGTAAAAAAAGAAAATACAAAATGAAAAAATGAGAAAAAAAGGAAAATATAATCATTGACTTAAAACAAGAGGCAAAAAAAATTAAAAAAATGTAACAAAATACTCACGGCAAGATTGAGTAAATGCAAACTTCAGAGTGGTAGAAGTCCTCAAATCAGTCATAGAAAGAGTTGTCAGTGATGTGGCAAGGAGGGCAGGTGATGTCTTGGCATTGGACTCAGTGGTTGTGCTTCTCCCATGGTTGGTGGCGGGTCTTGCAACTGTGGAGGGACTTGCGCTTGTGGCGGGAGGTGCGGTGTCACGGCTAAACGGAGAGGATATGGCAGGCAAGGGGCCCCTCGTGGAGGACGAATCTGCCCCCGTGTCTGCCGTGGCCTGCCCCTGCGTGAGGGGCCTGGAGGTGAGCCCCGCTGCCTGCGTCTGGTAGCTACCAGGCAGCGTGGCCGAAAGGCTGGCCTCGGTGGTGTCCGAGGCAGGGGACGTGCCGGAGGCAGAAGCCGGTGCCTTGGGGCTGGAGGTGCTGGGAGCTGGACTGTGCGTCATGGCCTCTGAACTTCCAGTGCCCGACCCAACTGTCGTAAGGCCGAGTGTGGAGGAAGGATCAGAGGACACGTGTGTGGTTGAGGAAGGGAATTTAGTGCTCAAGCCCGCCTCAACAGAGCCGCTGGTGCTGCTTGGCTGGAGGCTTGGGGTGGCAGGTGAGGATTCCGCAGGTGAGGATGCAGAGTGGCTGTTCACTGCCGAGCCGGACCTGGTGGACACGGAGGCAGCACTGCCACTTGCTGTGCCCAAGCCGGTGGCAGTGGCATGGGGCCCCATCGTCACGAAGGCAGGACTAGTGGTCTCGCTTTCGTTGGATCCGCCGTGCAAAATCCCTTCCTGAGTTGGCGTGGTGGGCGCAGTCTCCGTCCTCCCTTCTCCGCCCACCGTCCTCGACGTGGAGGAGTTCTCCAGCGATGTGGCAAGGAGGGCAGGTGGTGTCTTGGCATTGGACTCAGCGGTTGTGCTTCTCCCATGGTCGGTGGCGGGACTTCCACGTGTGGCTGGAGGAGAAGTGTCGCGGCTAGCCAGAGAGGACGTGGCACGCAAGGGGATCCCCGTGGAGGATGAAACTGCCCCCATCTCTGACATGGCCTGCCCCTGCGTGAGGGGCCTGGAGGTGAGCCCCACTGCCTGCGTCTGCGCACTGCCAGCCAGTGTGGCCGAAAGGCTGGCCTCGGTGTTTTCTGAGGTAGAGGACGTGCCAGAGGCAGACACCGATGTCCTGGATTTGGAGGTGCTGGGAGATGGACTTTGTGTCACGGCCTCTGAAGTTCCAGCACCGTATCCATCGCTCGTAAGGCCAGGGGCAAAGGAAGGAGCACTGGACACGCGTGCGGTAGAGGAGAGGGAGTTGATGCTCAACCCCTCCTCAGTGGTGCCGCTAGTGCTGCTTGGTTGGAGTCTGTCAGTTGCAGGTGCGGATCCCGCTGGAGAGGAGGAGGTGTGGCTGGTGGCTGTCGAGATGGACCTCGGAGACTCAGAGGCAGCACTGACACTCGCTGTTCCATCGCCAGTGGAGGTGGCGTGAGGCCCCATCGTCGTGAAGTCAGAGTTGGTGGTCTCCCTGCTGGCAGACGCCCCAAGAGAGTTCCCTTCGCGAGTTGGCGTGGTGGGCGCAGTCTCCGTCCTCTCTTCTCCGCCTAACGTCTTCAACGTGGGGGAGTTCACCAGCGATGTTTCAGTGAAGGCAAGGGATGTCTTGGCGTTGGGCTCAGCCATCGTGCTGCTCCTATGGTCGGTGGCGGGACTGGAACCTCTGGCGGGACTTGTGCTTGTGGCGGGAGGAGCGGTGTCGCGGCTCGCAGCAGAGGACATGGCAGGCAAGGGGCTCCATGTGGAGGACGAAGTGGCCTCCATCTGTGCCGTGGCCTGCCCCTGCGTGAGGGGCCTGGAGGTGAGCCCCTCTGCCAGCGTCTGGTAGCTACCAGGCAGCATGGCCGAAAGGCTGGCCTCGGTGGTGTCCGAGGCGGGGGACGTGCCGGAGGCAGAAGCCGGTGCCTTGGGGCTGGAGGTGCTGAGAGCTGGAGTGTGCGTCATGGCCTCTGAACTTCCAGTGCCAAACCCAACGGTCGTAAGTCCGGGCGCGGAGGAAGGAACAGAGGACGCGTGTGTGGTTGAGGAAGGGGATTTAGTGCTCAAGCCCGCCTCAACAGAGCCGCTGGTGCTGCTTGGCTGGAGGCTTGGGGTGGCACTTGAGGATCCCGCAGGAGAGGAAGCAGAGTGGCTGTTCACTGCCGAGCCGGGCCCGACGGACACGGGGGCAGCACTGCCACTCGCTGTGCCCAATGCGGTGGCGGTGGCGTGGGGCCCCGTCGTCATGAAGGCAGGACTGGTGGTCTCGCTCTCGGTGGACCCGCCGATCGAACTCCCTTCCCGAATTGGCGTGGTGGGCGCAGTCTCCGTCCTCCCTTCTGTGCCCACCGTCCTCGACGTGGAGGAGTTCTCCAGCGATGTGGCAAGGAGGGCAGGTGGTGTCTTGGCATTGGACTCAGCGGTTGTGCTTCTCCCATGGTCGGTGGTAGGTCTTCCACCTGTGGAGAGACTTGCCCTTGTTGTGGTGGGAGGAGCGGTGATGCGGCTAGCTGGAGAGGACATGGCAGGCAAGGGGCCCCTCGTGGAGGACGAACCTGCCCCCGTGTCTGCCGTGGCCTGCCCCTGCATGAGGGGCCTGGAGGTGAGCCCCGCTGCCTGCGTCTGATAGCTTCCAGCCAGCGTGGCCGAAAGGCTGGCCTCGGTGGTGTCCGAGGCGGGGGACATGCCGGAGGTAGAAGCCAGTGTCTTGGGGCTGGAGGTGCTGGGAGCTGGACTGTGCGTCATGGCCTCTGAACTTCCAGTGCCCGACCCAACGGTCATAGGGCCGGGTGTGGAGGAACGATCAGAGGATGCGTGTGCGGTGGAGGAAGGGGATTTAGTGCTCAAGCCCGCCTCAACAGAGCCGCTGGTGCTGCTTGGCTGGAGGCTTGGGGTGGCAGGTGAGGATCCCGCAGGAGAGGAAGCAGAGTGGCTGCCCACTGCCGAGCCGGGCCCGACGGACACGGGCGCAGCACTGCCACTTGCTGAGCCCATGCCAGTGGCAGTGGTGTGGGGCCCCATCGTCACGAAGGCAGGACTGGTGGTCTCGCTTTCGGTGGACCCGCCGAGCGAACTCCCTTCCCGAGTTGGCGTGGTGGGCTCAGTCTCTGTCCTCCCTTCTCCGCCCAGCGTCTTCAACGTGGGGGAGTTCGCCAGCGATGTTTCAGTGAGGGCAAGGGATGTCTTGGCGTTGGGCTCAGCCATCGTGCTGCTCTTATGGTCGGTGGTGGGACTGGCACCTCTGGCGGGAATTGTGCTTGTGGCGGGAGGAGCGGTGTCACGGCTCGCAGCAGAGGACGTGGCAGGCAAGGGGCTCCATGTAGGGGACAAAGCGGCCTCCGTCTGTGCCGTGGCCTGACCCTGCGTGAGGGGCCTGGAGGTGAGCCCCGCTGCCTGCGTCTGGTAGCTACCAGGCAGCGTGGCCGAAAGGCTGGCCTCGGTGGTGTCCGAGGCGGGGGACATGCCGGAGGTAGAAGCCGGTGCCTTGGGGCTGGAGGTGCTGGGAGCTGGACTGTGCGTCATGGCCTCTGAACTTCCAGTGCCCGACCCAACTGTCGTAAGGCCGAGTGTGGAGGAAGGATCAGAGGACGCGTGTGTGGTTGAGGAAGGGAATTTAGTGCTCAAGCCCGCCTCAACAGAGCCGCTGGTGCTGCTTGGCTGGAGGCTTGGGGTGGCAGGTGAGGATTCCGCAGGTGAGGATGCAGAGTGGCTGTTCACTGCCGAGCCGGACCTGGTGGACACGGAGGCAGCACTGCCACTTGCTGTGCCCAAGCCGGTGGCAGTGGCATGGGGCCCCATCGTCACGAAGGCAGGACTAGTGGTCTCGCTTTCATTGGACCCGCCGTGCAAAATCCCTTCCTGAGTTGGCGTGGTGGGCGCAGTCTCCGTCCTCCCTTCTCCGCCCACCGTCCTCGACGTGGAGGAGTTCTCCAGCGATGCGGCAAGGAGGGCAGGTGGTGTCTTGGCATTGGACTCAGCGGTTGTGCTTCTCCCATGGTCGGTGGCGGGACTTCCACGTGTGGCTGGAGGAGAAGTGTCGCGGCTAGCCAGAGAGGACGTGGCACGCAAGGGGATCCCCGTGGAGGATGAAACTGCCCCCATCTCTGACATGGCCTGCCCCTGCGTGAGGGGCCTGGAGGTGAGCCCCACTGCCTGCGTCTGCGCACTGCCAGCCAGTGTGGCCGAAAGGCTGGCCTCGGTGTTTTCTGAGGTAGAGGACGTGCCGGAGGTAGACACCGATGTCCTGGATTTGGAGGTGCTGGGAGATGGACTTTGTGTCACGGCCTCTGAAGTTCCAGCACCGTATCCATCGCTCGTAAGGCCAGGGGCAAAGGAAGGAGCACTGGACACGCGTGCGGTAGAGGAGAGGGAGTTGATGCTCAACCCCTCCTCAGTGGTGCCGCTAGTGCTGCTTGGTTGGAGTCTGTCAGTTGCAGGTGCGGATCCCGCTGGAGAGGAGGAGGTGTGGCTGGTGGCTGTCGAGATGGACCTCGGAGACTCAGAGGCAGCACTGACACTCGCTGTTCCATCGCCAGTGGAGGTGGCGTGAGGCCCCATCGTCGTGAAGTCAGAGTTGGTGGTCTCCCTGCTGGCAGACGCCCCAAGAGAGTTCCCTTCGCGAGTTGGCGTGGTGGGCGCAGTCTCCGTCCTCTCTTCTCCGCCTAACATCTTCAACGTGGGGGAGTTCGCCAGCGATGTTTCAGTGAAGGCAAGGGATGTCTTGGCGTTGGGCTCAGCCATCGTGCTGCTCCTATGGTCGGTGGCGGGACTGGAACCTCTGGCGGGACTTGTGCTTGTGGCGGGAGGAGCGGTGTCGCGGCTCGCAGCAGAGGACATGGCAGGCAAGGGGCTCCATGTGGAGGACGAAGTGGCCTCCATCTGTGCCGTGGCCTGCCCCTGCGTGAGGGGCCTGGAGGTGAGCCCCTCTGCCAGCGTCTGGTAGCTACCAGGCAGCGTGGCCGAAAGGCTGGCCTCGGTGGTGTCCGAGGCGGGGGACGTGCCGGAGGCAGAAGCCGGTGCCTTGGGGCTGGAGGTGCTGAGAGCTGGAGTGTGCGTCATGGCCTCTGAACTTCCAGTGCCAAACCCAACGGTCGTAAGTCCGGGCGCGGAGGAAGGAACAGAGGACGCGTGTGTGGTTGAGGAAGGGGATTTAGTGCTCAAGCCCGCCTCAACAGAGCCGCTGGTGCTGCTTGGCTGG